TTCATCGCTGTTGGGTTCCTTTCCCCCCAGCCGCCGTTGCGTTGTCGCTATTGGAGTCAGAGCTACCGATGAGGACCGAGCGTCGCCTCTTCGCCGCTGCTGGACTGTTCCGAAGAGGTCAAGGCAACTCCAATCGCTTCTTCTTCTATGTTGTTCAGCTCTTACCAATGCCCGTCGTCTGCCGCTGCCGCCATCAACACCGTTGCTGCCTTGCCATGTACACCGCCGCCATAGTGCTGCTACCGGAGTCGCTGTGGGCAGCGAGTGACCGCCGGAGGCTGATGAATTGACTTATTCGCTGCTGCGTGGTCGTGAACAACCGGGAACCTTCAGGAACGGGAAGGAAACTCATCGCAGCCGCCTGCTGCCGCCATGCGCCACCGCTGGCCACCACAAGGTGGTTGTGTGTGTATGTGTTTAGCTTAGTGTATGCGTGTGTACGGTTATTGGTTATCGTGTTGTAATATTGTATTGATCGGAATAATAAAAAGGAAATCCGTCACCACCACCGTTAGGTGTTGGCCGCCGCCGTGAGCCGCCGTTGACCACCACTACCCAAGGTGGTAGTGGGTGGTGCCCCACTAGCAAAACCCTAATTGACCTAATAAAACCCTAATGTCCCAATAAGGCCCAAAGTGACCTAGAAGCCCAAACAATTGACTAATGGGCTAGTATTGGGTAGGAAACCCTAATTAGGGTTTGGAAAACCCTAATGGCATAAAACCCTAATTTTTGAGAATTGATCGGGACCGCACGAGAATTAATTATTAAACCTAAAATAATAATTAATAATCATTGGCAAATTAACCTAAGGCAATGTTGGACTTAATGGATTAAGTCCTTAATGGGTTATGTAAGAAACACTTAACCCTAATCATCATTTCATCTGAAAACCCTAATTTTGGGATTACGGGCTTGGACTTATCGGGACCCACATTTGGGAGATTGGAATGGAATTGTGTATTAAGCCCAATCACACCATATGACTTATTTAGTAAAGTGAGGGACTTCATGGATTAAGTCCTTAATGGGTTAAGTGAAAACACTTAACCCTAATTGTCATTTTATGTGAAACCCTAATTTCACTTGGACTTTGTGTTGGGCCTTTCTATCGGGCTTTGGCGATTGGACTATTAATGGGCTTTCCAAGAATAAGCAAATGGACTAAATAGTTATATGGGTTTTAGGACAAGGCCCATGTGAGAGTCTTGGGCCCAATTTGGAAAATTGAGCCATAGATGGGCCATAACTGGGCCTTTATGATTATGTGATATTGGGCCATGGGAATACAAATAGTTTGGACTAGAATAATTGAACGGGCCTTAAGGAAAGACCAAGTAGAGGTCTGGGCCCAATTTGGAAAATTGGGCTATATGTTGGGCTTTAGCCCATTGGTTGACTATTGGGCCTTTGGAGTGTGAGTTGGACCTTAGGCTTGGAACCCAATTATTAATTGGAGTGTGAGTTTTGTTTGCGGGACTTCAGCAGTGCGCCATGTGAGTTTTCCTCACTATACTCAAGGGTCTAAGGCACTAAGGCCGGCCCTTTGGATTGTTATCTGGTTATGATATGCTAGTATGATCTGTTAGATCGGTATCCTAGAGGGTATGGTAATATTATGTGGTATGTGGTATGATCTGTTAGTTCGATATCCTAGAGGGTAGGATAATATTATATGTTATGTGGTATGATCCGGTAGATCAGTTTGTTGTCTATAGACTGTTATGTGATTATCTGTTATATGTGCACATGTTTGTTTGGCGGTTGAGGCTTATCTGCTTTGTGCGAAAGCCAATAGACCTGGGCATTCCAACGTGTTGGTTGTGGGCCGTGAGTATTCCATCCCGAGGATGATTGGACTCATAATATGTGGGCATTCCAACCTGTTGGTTGTGGGCCTGGGTTATTCCAACCTGATGGTTGATTGGACCCATAGTGTGTTGGCATTCCAACCTGTTGGTTGAGGGCTTGTGGTATTCCAACCTGATGGTTGATTGGACCCATAGTGTGTTGGCATTCCTACCTGTTGGTTGAGGGCCTGGGGTATTCCAACCCGATGGTTGATTGGACCCATAGTATGCTGTTTATGATTATGTGTGTATTGTTTTGGGTATGTGTATTTTGGGGGAACTCACTAAGCTTTCGGGCTTACAGTTTTAGTTTATTGTTTCAGGTACATCAGGGGATTGTGGCAAGGCAAAGGCGTGATCGTACTGCTCCTCACTTTTTATGACTTGGGTTTCTGGGATACGCTGATATTAAACTATTTTGAAAACACTTTGTAATAACTAATGGTTTTTGGATGTTTGAATTTTTTTTAAATTGGATTGATTTTTATGGGTGTTACATGCACAACCCTTGTTACCGTGGATGTGGGGTATAACGTCCATCTAAAAGTCGAGCATCAAGTCTGAAGCTGCTGAGGACCCGCCAAGGATTCAAGGAACAATTAAGTTTGATACATAGCGCAGTGGATGATAACTATGTGGCTTTTGGTTGTTATGATGCTATTGGCTTGATTCTTGACACAACTGTCATGTTTCCAGAATATTAGCTTCTGTTAAGGCTATTTACTCCTTCACTAAACCAGAATTATGAAGAACTCTACCAAGAGAATGGGGTCAAGTTCAGAAAGGGTGATTTCTTTCTTATAAGGGGAGGAATGAGAAGTGTAGAGTTTAAAGACATTGACACCGACCCACCAGATTATTGTGTAGTTGCACTCTATATGGAAATTGTCAAGGAAGGTGAGCCCATTAGAAGGGAAGTTGAGGATCGGTGGAATGAGATCAGGTACGATCATGTTGGTAGGGTCTGCAAGCAAATGACACAAATCCGTGAGGTAGTTGAGCTTCCAGTAAGGCACACACAATTCTTTAAGTCAATCGGGGTCAAACCCCAAAAGGTTTTTCTAGCTATACCGAAGCAGCCCCGTCACATGAACTCCTCAAGCTATTTTATAATAATTTCCTTATTTCACACCCCCAAAGGCATTAGAAAAAAAGTAGTTGTGGTGAAAGCTAGTGAGAAGAATGTGAATTCAACATTTATGGGTGGATGCTTTGGGATACCCAAGTACTTCACTGATCTTTAAAAAAGGGTTGTTAGGCATGCAGCTACTATGGCCATATTTCATGTTCTATTGTTGATGCATAAAACAATATCTACTATTTTAGTGTATGGAATATACATGACTGCCTTACATTTTCACTTTTATCCACCTTAAGGACAAGGTGGTTCTTTTAGGGTGGGATATTGTTATGCATTCACTCACGTACAACTTTATAGAAAGGGGTAAGATGGGAAATCAGTCTAATAAAGAGAATCTTATTAGTTCAAGGGCTTTGGGGCATTTTAGGCATTCTATAGTATTTAGTTTGTTATGTCAGCTAGTATAAGAAGGTAGTGGGCAAGGGAGTGAGGTATCTATCTTTTGTGTGAAAATTGGAATTAATTCCTATTAGGAGATTGGCTATGTCGAATCAGCTAAACTATCTTCATTCTTGTAATCATTTGGTATTATCTTGTGTTATTCAATCAATATTAGAATCCTTTGATTGTTTATGTGTTATTGAATCGGTTCTTAGAATCCAGTTCATAACATGCAACTGGAAATGAAGATCACCTTTTTGTTGGGTGTTCGATAACTAAGTCGGTATGGCAACAAATATGTGGTTGGTTGTGGCCTTTTGGAACCCAATTAAACTTGGTGTCCGATCTTATCAGGTGCAGAGATTCTATGGTAGGTCAACAGAAACTTGCAGATCCCCATGAGGCAATAATGATGCTTTTTCTGTGGATGATGTGAAATTTCCAAAATCAGAAGGTTCATTCATCTAATCTCAAATATCAAACGGTTTTGGCACATGAGGTACAAAAGTTATCATTCCTTTGGATCAACTCGAAGAAGAGAAAATGCGTGGCTTTAATATGGGAGAACTGATGTTGTAATTCCATTGTAGAATGCTACCGTAAACTCTAAGTTCATTTATTTTTTGCTCTTATTTTTATTTTTTTCCTTTTGTACCTCCTAACCCCTGGCTAGTTTTTCTTTTTAATAAAATTTACTAGCCGATAAATAAAGGTTAGAGTTCGATTGGTAAATGGGAGATTTGACCAAGTTAGTAGTTTCAACTAGCGGTCAAGTTAGAAAATGGATAGTTGAGGGGCTATTTATTCTCAGTAGCCAAAGATGCGGCATAAGCCTCTTATCCTCTTTCATTTGAACACAAATCGAGTTAGATTGTTGGAAGATGTAGAGAGATTTTGAGCTAGAACAAAATATAAAGAGAAGTTTGAAGTATTTGTGTAGAGGAAAAGCTAAAATCATCTCACCTAAGTACTTGGAAGGTACAATACTTGTTAATATTCTCCTTTGAATACTTACACTTTTGGGTGGACTTTCCAGAAGTCTCCAAGACAACCAATTTAAACAACCCAATTCGTCATATTAATTACCTTAATTAACTATTTGGCTATTAAACAAACTTATTTATTAATTATTAAATAAAGTCTTTTATTTAATTTGTTTTGATTTAATAAATCACAGATAACCAATTTATTTGTGTGTAACTTTATAGTTCAACATATAAATAACAATATAAGTTATTGTTTATACTTTATCTTACATATTATAACCAACACTTTTATAAATGACTCACTTGTCTATTGAAATACAAAGGGCGGTGTAGTCTGTAACTTTATCTAATTAGTGTGATAGATGTGCATGGAAGCTTGATGGTCAGGGACGGACGCAGGAATACATTGCAGGTGTTGCCGGGATGAATAGGTGTTGCCGATACATGAAAAATAAGTAAAAAAAATCGAAAAATCGAAATTTTTTCCACTGCGGCCAGAAAAGTTAGGGGTTGTCGGTGCCACACCGGGAACCCCTTAAAACCGTCCCTGTTGATGGTACAGGTGAGTACACATTATTCTTAGCAAGGTAGATCATTGATAAAACTTCTTTAGTTGTCAAACACTCCAACTAAAAGGAACAAATGGTTCTGTTGTGCACCCACCCTTGCAATTCACCTATTAGAGACAGATGCATAAAAAGATTCCAAGAGGAGAAGGGACTACATACAAACAAGAGAGCACTACAAAAAAGTTAGTGGGACAACAAGGGTATTTTGGGAATTAAGACAGATCCTCTGTCATGTCCAACCTATATTATGGGAGGGCGTTGTTAGAAAAGGCAGGCAAAATATTTTACAAGTTTCTTTTACTTGGAGACCATAACATCCCGAATCACTATATCTATCTTGTTCATTTCATTTGTTCTTGTTCTTGTTATGAACATTGAGAAATATTAAGTTATCAATTGTAATTTTTGTGTTCTTGTTGTCTTTTAAGTGAGTTCATAACAAAATTGGTATCAGAACATTTACCGTATTCTGGGATTATAGCTGGAGGAGGGAAAGAAACTGGAGGAGCTCAGCTCAAACGTGTGGAATCGTTAGAATCGGAGTTGGGAATCCGGTATACTTGGATGGAGACTCAAGGGCATAAAATTCAACACCAGGCCGATTCAATGGCCTCACTTGAGTTGAAGATGGACCGGCGGTTTGAAGAAGTGCTTAATGTCATCGCCAGAAACAAACGGGAAGAACCCGGAGGAAAGAAAACCATGCCAGTGGGACCCAACAATGAACCAAGGTCTACTACGGTGGAGACGCCGAGAGTTGTGGGTATAGGGTCCAATGGAGGATCAAGAAACAACACTGAAAGTGGTGACGGTCCCGGTGGTGGAAGCACTGAAGGTGATGACAGTGGAGGACGGCCCAATGGAAGTAATTATGGAACAAGCTCCAGCTGGCGATTCTGAAAATTAGATATGCCGCTATTTGACGGTAGTCACCCAGATGGGTGGATACTCAGGTCGGAGCGGTATTTCAACTTTTACCATCTCTACCAACCAGACAAGATGGAGGCGGTGGTGGTTGCTATCGAAGTTGACGCCCTACTGTGGTTTCAATGGGAGCACCGAAGGAGATAGATAACGAGGTGAAACGAAGTGAAGACCCTTGTCATCCAATAGTTTCGACCTAGACACGAAGGTATAATCTATGAACAATGAATTTCGTTGGTTCAAACCGGTTCGATTTTGGACTACCAACGTTCCTTTATCGAACTCTTTGCCTCGCTTTGTATGTTACTGGATGACATCACTATGTGTCAGTTTGTCAATAGGATCCAAAGTGACATTAGATCTGAGGTCAGGATGCTTGACCCAAGATATGTTAACCATGCTATGGCCCTGTCCATCAAGGCAGAAGAGAAGCTCAGACCCCAACAGCCCCAACCCAAGAAACCCCCGACCTCGAGTGCTGAATTGAGCTTCCGATCGTCTTCTGTAGGAACGATATCCGGTACCCCCCTCATAACTCCCATCAAAACAACTTTTTACTCTCCTAAAAGCACATCTTCCTCTCAATTCAATACTCCCATGAGCAACTTTGTGAGCAATCGGGGATTGGGGAAGTGAGAAGGCTTTCTGACAAGGAGTTACAGAACAAGAAAGAGAAGGGCATGTGCTATTGTTGTGATGAAAAGTGGAATCTGGAGCATCGATGCAAAAAGAAATAATTAAGTATACTGCTCATGCAAGAAGAAGAAGTTGAAGAAGAAGAAGAAGAGTCACCCATAGAGGATATCGGCGTCCCTGCCCAAGAAACAACCGTTTTGTCAGGAATTTGTTTGAACTCGGTGATGGGGTTGACCAATCCAAAAACCCTCAAGCTCAAGGGTACCCTGGAAAACGTAGAAGTGGTGGTTCTCATTGATCCAGGAGCAACTCACAATTTCCTTTCCTTAACAACCATCCAAAAGCTACACATACCAGTGACCCCTACGACTGAATTTGGAGTTTCTTTGGGAACTGGAAGAGCAGTGTCAGGTCATGGAAGATGTGAAAGGGTTCTATTACAAATACAAGGCTTGGATATCATGGAATACTTTCTTACTCTCACGAAATTCCAATGTGATCTTAGGCATTCAATGGTTGGAGAAACTAAGATCTGTGACTACAAATTGGAAAACCCAATTGATGAATGTAACACCCGGTTTCTAGATGGGATCGATTTAGGGCTTCAAGGAGTCGAAGGCATGGTTTTTGGGTAAAACTAAGGCTCACGACATGACCATAGAGGGGTCACGACGTGAGGAGTGATTAAATGAAGATGTTGAATTATGCTGAGCTCACGATGTGAGATGTGCTGTAGCCCAAGCCCATGATCTTTTAGGGTTTCCTTCATATTTAAACCCCATAAACTTCATTTTAGGGTTCCAAAACAGCCTCCTTCATCCTTAACTTTAGTAAAACCCTAACCCTAGCCTCTCATTGTGATTCTTGAGCTTTTGGTGGAGTTTTGATGGTTTGAAGAAGAAGAAGAGATTCCCATTGAATTATAGATTCAGCTTGGAAGTTCCATTTGCAACCTTTAGCAACACCTCTGGACCATTGTGAGTAAACAAGATTCAAGATTTTTGTTCCCTTGTTGCTAGATATAAGGTTTCATGCATATTTATCCATGACTATAAGAGTTAGAGTATTGGGACTCCATAAAGTTGGCAACTTTATGGGTCCTTAGGGTCCCTTGGTGACTATATGTTATGGATCTGAAGTTTGGATGATGTTTGAGTTCATGCTTGAGATTTGATCTCCTTTTTCTTCATGAATGCCATAGTTTGAGCTCAAGTCTTGTATTGGACATACAAGACCTTAAAGCATCAATTTTTATGACTCTTGGGGTGTTAGGAAGCCTCATGGAAAGAAGGATTAGTGGCTTAATGGATTAAGAAGTTGTTGGATCAATATGACATTCAGATTGATCTCACGACGTGAGGTTATGCCTGTCACATCGTGAGGATCATGAGTCCCGAGTATTTTTTCCTGTAGTGGCTCACGGCGTGAGCCATAGATGGTCACATCGTGAGGGGTTGTTGACTGTTGATCTTCGTTGACCGTTGACTTTTTGACCAGTTTGACCTTGGGTCAAACTTGAAGGATTTGGGTTGTTGATTAAGATTCTTCCATGATTTGGTGACAGAGGGATCGTGGGAGCAAGCAGTGCAGAAACATGGATCGTATTGTAGTGTTTCAGATTTCTTCGATTAAGGTGAGTTTTGCCTCATTGTACTTTGGGTCGAAGGCACCAATGCCGTCCCACTAGTTTTGGTTATCATGTAGTAGGAGGATGCCATAGGGACTGTATGCAGTCATGTAGGATAAACTGAGGACTCTTGATCTAGGCTTTCCTTCCTGTTCCATGTTTGGTTGTGGCTATAGAGTAGGAACATCTGTATGGGTCTCTATCTCACCTCTGAGTACATATAATTATGCATTCCTTGGATTGTCGGTTATGTATCCTAGTATATAGGACGTTGATATGCTGTAGTGATTCATTAGATTTGTATCCTGGTAAATAGGATGTTTCTATGCAGTAGTGATCTGTAGATTTGTATGATTACATGTACTTGCTGGTTATCTTTTAGTGGAGTGACCTTGGGGCTGTATGTAGTAATGTAGGATAGCCTGAGAACTCTTGATGTAGGCTTTCTTTCCTGTTCCTTTTTTGGTTATGGCTCTAGAGTATGATCATCTGTTAGGGTGGCTATCTCACCTCTGGTTACTCATGGTTACACATTTCATGGAGGTTAGCTGGTAGCGGGACAGTGTGATGTGTGAGGACTAGTAGGCGGTAGTGAGCTGTATGATTGTTGTTTGTCTGTATTATGTGTGCAACACCCAGAATCTAGAAGGTTAATTGTGGAATTATGCTAATTTCAAGTTGAACTCGACGAGTTGGAGGAGCCAACTCGGCGAGTTGAAAATGAAGAATCGTGAGGATTTAATGGGTTTACTCAACGAGTTGAGGAGCCTCAACTCGGCGAGTAGAACTTGTTTTGGTCGCGAGATTAATGAGACAACTCAGCGAGTTGGAGGAGCCAACTCGACGAGTTGGGCGCTGTTTAGGAAACCCTAATTTTGGGGTTTTGCACCCTATTTAAACACCTAAAGTTCCAGGTGTTGGCCTCATTTCCAGCCTCCATAGCCCCTAACCCTAATCTCGAAACCCTAGAGCCTCCTTGAGTGTTGTGAGCTCATTGTGGGTGTGTTTTGGTGTGTTTTGGTGTGTTTAAGGCTCATTGAAGGAAGGGAAGCTTGGTGCAAGGTGGTGAATCAAGTAGGAGTATTTGGCTTAGATCTCTTCTTGGGTTTATTTGTATGCTTTTAGCCATGGATGGGTGGTTGTTGAGGAAGTAGAAGTCCCAAGTGTTTATCCTTTCCAGATCTATGATCTTCATGAGCTCTTTTGGCATAAAGGTGCCAACTTTATGGTCCTAAGGGCTTCATGCATTCATTAAGTCCTTCTTTTGGTCTCTTTTAAGCTTTTGAGCTTCTTCTAATCATGAATAAGTGTAAAGCTGACAACTTTACATGGCCATCTAGCCTCATATGGTCAGATCTGCATCTTGGAGTTGTGTCCTTGTGGAATAAGTGCTTAATGATTAAGCCCTTACCCTTTTAAGTTTAAGGTTTGGGTTTTGAACCCATTTTAGTGGTTCTTAGGGGTAAAGTTGGAAACTTTACCCTTCTTGAGGCCATTTCAGTTAAGATCTAGGTTGAAAAGCCCTTAGTTTCGAAAAAGGTCGAGGTTGGGTTTTTGGCGAACTCGGCGAGTTCATGGGCGAACTCGGCGAGTTGATGGGTATTTGCCCGATCTTTGCAGTGTAATGAAGAAACTCGACGAGTTGGGTCAACTTGGACCGTTGACTTTGAGCAAGTTTTTCCCAAGGGGTAATTGAGGTATTCTGAATTGTAATTAATGGAAGTATGGGCTTAGGATAAGGCCCATATGGGATTGGTCCCAATTTGGAAAATTGGGCCATTAGTGGGCCTTTGTGGATCTGTTGGTTTTGGGCCTTCTTGGTTTTGAGGTTGGGCCTCAGCTTTGGTTCTTGTTTGGGTTAGGGGTAAAATGGTCATATTACCCCAAGTATGGTTAGTAGGCCTTGGAATGGAATCCAATTGTTTATTTGGTGTTAATCTTGATCTGATAGTTTGGAGGTGTCGTCAGGGCAGCAACTAAGGAATTCTTTCAGGAAGCTTCTGCATTCGAGGCGAGTTTCCTTACCGAGTTTAGCGGGTCGAAGGCACCAACGCCGGACCATGTTTATATTATGTTGTTAGTATGCTAGTTGTCTTTGTGACTCTTGCATGTGCTTGTGTGTATATGTCTTTCGGGATAAGGCCCGATGCCGGGCGGGGCCTGATGGATATCTGTATGTTATGTATCTCTGTGATTATTGCATGTGTATGTGGTTATTTTGATATATGTTATTATATGTTGGGCGGGGACCGTTTTACCGAGCTTAGCTCGATGCCGGGCGGGGCCCGATGCCGGACAGTGTCCGAAGCCGGGCGGGGCCCACTATATGTTTACTATATGCTTATTGATTGGTATGTGGTATTTGGGGAACTCACTAAGCTTTGTGCTTACAGTTTCAGTTTATGTTTTAGGTACTCCAGTTTTCAAATGAAAGGGGCTCGAGACGATCACAACGCATACACCCATGTTTTCCACAATATGTGATCTTTGGGAATGAACTCTGATAATTGTTTTTATTTAAATGCTTTTCAATGTTTGGACAAAGTGACAATGGTGTCTTGAATATAATAAAAATGAAAATTTTAACCTTGATTTCTGGGATGTTGCAATGTGCCTACATGATCCTTGTTTGTTTATATGTCGACATATAGTAGTAGTGGGTTGAGGCGGTCCTGTTGTGTGTGCTGTAGGCCAAGATACCTGGTCTGGGCTG